AAAATTATCAATGTTTTTCGAAGCCTCCCTTAGCCCTTCAACACCAAATTCTCAAATTCATCTAGCGGGCTAAAAAATTTTGTCAGCGAGCCAATTTGGGCCCGCGGGCCGGGGGTTGCCGATACCTGTCTTATAGTTAGACACTGCTATCTGCTTGATAAAATCAAAGGAGGTGTGCAACGAATAAGGATCTGTTATGATCCAAACTGTTAGGGTAGCCGAACATTCGCATTTTGTTGGTACATTGTCCTAATAGCACGATTTCACAAAATGCATGGAAAATGTTAACTTATTAGAGTAATGACTGGCTTGTTGTCCTTGGCTGGTTCACTCAATGCACCGAAAATCTAGTCCTTCGGTGGTGGGAGCTTTTGAGAACGAAACTTGGTTACCCACTATTCAATTTTTGTTGACAGTATAATATTCTAATGGAATATCACGGCTGATTTCATCACATTCGTGTATGATGGAATCATGAAAATGGTTTTTTACAGGACTAACATTACTTCCAATTATTGGCAGCTCTATAACGATACAAAGCCTCTGTTCGAAAATATTATCAAGAGTGGATACGCGATGCGTATGTTGATCTACGCGGGTGATGTTGATTCAACTGCAAACGTATTGGAAATTGAATATACACTTGAACAACTTGCTAAAGCTAACAATATGGTATTTGTTCTGATGAAAGTAAATTCGCAAATTAAATTAATTTGTACGACTGATCAAACATCGAATTTTAGAAGCAATCTAGGCGGAGGTCGTGGCATTATCACTTAGCACCCGAATATGTGGCAAGAGTTGGAGGATTTGTCAAAGAATTCGCGAAGGGATCTGTCAAAATTGATTCAGTAACTTTGAAGGTAAATCATTAATCGCTCTTTTGTGGGATATTATTGTGCCACCATCGACATTTGAAAGCTTATTGAACAGTTGCATATCTTGCAGTCTATCCTAAGCCCTTCAGGCTTTGAAGTATTTGTTTCTGTTTTCTGAATCCGAAATTAAGTATTTTGTCACCGTTGAAAACTCAAACAGCTGTTTCCTATTTGAAGTGCATTTCATGCAGTGTAAACTACTGTTCATCGGGGTAGGTAACCCATCGGGGAGTGAAACGGAAGAGGAGACCCCGACAAAAAAGTCCGGGAACGAATTGCTGGGGGTGGGGGTGTGAGTCCCGCGCGGAAGTGACCGTTCATGGTTGACTCTGAACAGAAAGTCGGGGAGCAGAACTGTTGAGAAGTTGTCGTGGAACGGGGTTCTCGTCGGGAACTCCGACGGGGACCCAATTACCCGATGCACATTAATATAAACTGAATGCTGTAGCTTCAGTTTCTTACTAACACTAATTGTAAGTATGAAGAAGTATCAAAACTTCACAAGCGAAATTCTGCACTAAACTACTTCACATCAGCAATTTAATTGAAAAATTCAGGTTTTTTA